TCTGAATTACTCCCTTCACCAAAACTGTTGTTAGGCATCCCAGCTCATGTGTGCCAGCTTTCACCCCAAGACAACGCTGATTTCAGTTTATATATGCACATACCATATGTACAGATTATGACCATCTGCAGTAACAGCCAGCAAAACAGATGGAAAGATCCAGTCAGACCTCCCAATATGAACCAAAAAACACCCCCATCTGAAAAGAAAACTTTTTGCTCTTAAAAAAAAAAAAAAAAAAAGGTTTAATGCATCTTTATATGACCATAAAAACAAATTTTCCACCATTTTTACAAGTTAAAGAAAAATATTTCTCTGACAATGTCAACCATCAGAATTTGCCACTTGTCATCTGTGTTTTATGCATGGCTAACTTTTAAGAAGTAGTTATAGAAATGCCAAAGCTATAAAGTATTAAAAATACCCTCTAGCAATACAGTGCTACAGTTACATAATATCCTGAACATGTTAAGGTTAATTATAGAGACAAAAAAATCTCTCTTACTTTCCACTGGGATTTTAAATGTTATTATCCAGGCGATAGGTGATTATTACAAAGCATTAGAAAATTATGCTCTCGATTTATTTAACATCCCTGCACACATGCTTTGAAATTCACAGCTGTCTCCAGTGCTAAGTGTACACAGGTACGCTGAGGTGCGAGCACTTAGGAGATCATTTGGCAAGTGTGGTAGGAGTGATTGAACGCACGCTGCTAAGACACCTAGTCCTCTCAAGCATGCTCACCACTGTCCTGAAGGAAGGGCTGTTCCTGAGGAGCTTTGCTTCCAAGCTCGTATGTCAGCATGGTAAGGTCTGGTTTTTGCACTGGATTCCTTGCGAGCGCTCTGCGGAAAAACCTACATAGGTGCAGTTGTGTCTGTGCACGTATAGACAAAGGCTCTATTTTCTGGTAAATCTTGTTCTGTCATTTGCTACCTACCTGTTGGTATAACGGCACATATCATGCCTGTGTTATATGCTGCTGCTCTTAAAAGTGACATCCAACTACCATCCTAAAAGTATGCTAGTTCCAAGCAACCAAAAAATTGTCAGCTCTGTTTCATGTGGTGTAGATGGCATATAATTCTCTAATGGCTCAGTAGAAGAAAAAATACTATGTGCAGAAATATGTTGTTTAAAGTTATGCCCTGTTTCCTTCATCTATTTTTTATTTTATTTTCAGAACTCAGTGAACTTATTATATGCCTACAGCAGTACTGAATCTAGTTTCCAAAGACACTTGACGGTCCAGATTCCATTGGTATTGATTACACTGTCTTGTCAACGCAGTCTCTTAGCATTTTCCTGTCTGTGGATTTTGCAGTTGTAATTTATAGGCAACTTTTACAGAAAAACGGTTTTGCACAAGGGAAGGACTCATTTACTTTTTGCTTTCCTTCTAGTATTTGCTTTGCGGTTAGCCCTCCTTTGAGCAGGATGTTGGCCTAGCTGACTGCCTTGATCATAAATTAATTCTACGATTCCCTCCTAACATGTTCTGTTCTCCAGCAAACGCACTGTAGGATGCCTGTTCTGGAGACACTTCACTAGAGGTGCTCAAAGAGCAAAGACTAATCTGAAAAATCTCTCTGCCTACCTAATACAAAATCTATTAAGTATGTCACTGACTGGTACTGGTTGATGAACTTCTACTAATTACCACTGAGACCTCCATCAAAACAAGGCAAAACAACACTAAAGAAGAATTCATAAGCTGTAGGAGGGAAATACTGCACAGATTATGAAGAAAAGGTCAGGTCAGTATCAGCTAGCCTCAATTTAATGCTGACTTTCTACCCTGAGATCAGATTCAGGTTAATGTATTTTAGCTTAACTTAAATAGAACCTGACCTTGTCCTAATCACAATATATTTTTAAGTGTCAATCCTTTCCCATACACCTGTCCTTTACAGTAGCTCACATCACTGTCTTTTTCCCTACAACCATTTTGTTCACTTCCAAAATGCATCTACTCTCCTCTCATGCCGAGCTACTATCGGGAAACCACGCAGGAATGTAGAGCGAGATACTGCCTTTTTGTTTGTTTAAGAAATGTTTATTTTGTGGGGAGAAAACAAAAACATTAAATGGCATTGCATAACACCAAAAAAGATCTCCTTCTCCTGCCCCAAATTCTAGGCTTACATACTGCAGTAGTCATGCTCAAGTCTCCCGCTAGAGGCTAACATCTGCTTTTGGCCCAGTTGTGTTTCCAGGGTAGGAATACTGCTTGCTCTAGTGACAGCAGTGCTTTTCTCTTAGGGAAGCTGCACCACTGCAAGCAAATCCAGGCTCTGGATACTGGCAGGAAGTGGTACGCTACCTATCTGGAAACCCTTTAATACACAGTTGCATTGTAAATAGCATCATCTTTACTCATGCACAAGAGTCTGCATAATAATGTGAGCAGGGCTCCGATCCCAAAGCCCCCTCCCTCTTCATGAAACTCTCCAAGGACTTCTGCTGTGACAGCATCCAGCAGAGTATCACCACTAGCGAGCTGAGCTTGTTGCTTTGAAGAAGCCTTTACCTTCCACCAGGATCATTTAAGAAACAAATAGAGATTGGGGCGGGGGGGCCTACACAGCATGTTAATTCCTGGGACTGTTAAGAGGCGTATGGAGTAAATTCTCATGAAAAATGTTTTCAGGAGCTGAACTCTACTCTTGACTCTGTGTAGAAACTGTGCAGACCCCTCGGTTTGCCCTGTCTGCAAATTGAGAATACTACTTCTTGAATTAACAACATGTTAGGAAATAATTTGTTTAAAAAGTATTTAAAGATTGAATGTATTATACACACAATAGTATACCCATTGACAGATGGAGCAGTGGCCTCAGGGAACTGCTAAAAGCATAACACTTACTGTTTTCCCACCCTGGAACAGTCAAGCAATTTCGGGTTGTTTCACAGTACTGATGCAAACAAACAGCTTAATGACAAACAAGGAAATATATTATTGCCTCCATTTGCCTTACTGTTCTGTTCCAGCCTGTATTAACCAACCCTGGCATACTGGCATTTTAATATCCCCTACTTTTTTAAAAAAAAAAAAAAAGGCACAGAAAAACTGTCTCAGAGGTATCAACAGTAATTTAACATTCCTCCCATTTTTCCTAGATATATATTGTAGGGTGATGCCTATTTCAGCTTCACGGTATTTTCCAAGGCAAGAGATCACTAAGCTCTTTTTCTGTTTGTTTCAGGAAGCCCTAATGTCTCTCTTGATTATCTGTATCAGCCTTCGCTGGTAAGGAAGGGCTTTTTCTTTGTCCTATGTAACATTATTTAGCTTTTCATGGAATTGAAATCAATCCTCCCTTGTTTTTTTTCCCCCCAATTAAATTAGTATTTTTAATTAAAAAAAAAATAAAATCCATCCCTTTTCCAGCGCCCTTCTATGACAAAATACTAACTCAGCGCAAACAGCTGAAGGCTGGGCTCATACTGCCTCAAAAGCAGTAGTTTCTGGCACAGTGCTGTAACGGCTAAGAGCTGCTAGCTGCTCTTTT